GTTCTAAATATCGACCTAACCTCAAAGATAAAAAGAAAAAGAAATGAAATAGAAAGAGACGAATTTGAATTCGAATTTGAATTCGAAAGACGATAAATAATACTACGTAAAAAATACTACGATAATAAATACTACGTAACGTTACGAACTTTTATTATAGCAAAATATTTCATGCAACGTTCTAAACATCAACCTAACCTCAAATATAAAGATAAAAAAAATGAAATAGAAAGAGACCAATTTCAAAAACAATAATTATACTGTTGCACACGCCTTTTACGAGCTTTTATTATAGCAAAATATTACATGCAACGTTTTAAATATCGACCTAACCTCAATGATAAACTAATTTTCAATCATCTCTTAGCATTCTCGCGATACGCTTACCTCAAAACAATTGTTTAATAAAAAAAAAAAAGAAAAAATACAACAATAATCTTTTTCCATACTACGAAATATGTCATTTCCAAATGGGTATCGATAAATTGTTGGAAAATAGGTTAATAAAAAAAAATCTATACATATATATATGCACATACATAAATTGAACGAAAAAAAAGGTCTTTCGAAATCGTAAAAAAGAAAAATTTCAAATTCCATCGAAATAAAATAAATCTAGCGTGTTGAAAGAGAAAGAGAGAGAGACAGAAAAGAGAAAGTAGATTTTATTTCCTTGTTCTTGTTATCACCAATGAATTTGTTATTAGCAAGAGAAAGAAAAAGAAATAGAAAAAGAAAAAAAAAGAGAAAAAAACGAAAAAGAAAAATAAAACAAGATAATTCACTTGTCTACTGAATAAATTCATATTTGACGATTAGATAGGCGTGAAATGAAAGAAAAAAAAAAAAGAATAATTTGGAATAATGAAATAAAGAAGAATTTGTAAGAAAACATGACATATATCTATATATATATAACTTTCTTAGTAAATCTAATAAAAAAAAAAAAGGAAAAGTATCTTCCTCGGTTAAAGTCCTAGCTTTTCGTGTCACAGGTGTGTGTTCGTATGTACATATATATATGTCTATGTCTATGTAGTGTCATTGGGGAACGTGGAACGAGTAAAAGTCTAATTGCGGTTGGACGATTAAACGGGGAAGAAAACTCGGCAGCAATAGAGTGGTGCAATATAACTCGAGAAAAGATTTCCTAAACGATTTTCGTCCAAGATTAAGATAAAAGGGTAATAGAAGAAGAAGAAGAAGATAAAATGTGAAAATAGTCCATCTCGGTGTATAAACTATTACCCACAACCCCTCCCTCCCCCTCCC